TTGTCTAGAAGAAGACATTAAACCCAAATCTTTATACTTATCTCTAAATATGTTTTATTATTTTAAATCTGTAGATATGCAGATAAAAAACTTGTAAAGAAGGCAGCAACCAGTTTCACATTTAGGTTCAGGAGGTTGAAATAAATACTGATTGCACCGTCTCCTGAAACTTCAGCTAATGGCTATTAACCTTGTTTCAGATGATTAAAAAAGTAGGAAAACAAAATCAAACATTAATTTGGAAATGTTTGTCTGTGATAGTAAAAAAAATAAATCCCATGTGGTCTGAACAGTGTTTTATAAAGCCTAGGGAATCTCTCAAGATGTCATCTTCAAATACTACTACTTTGCCTCTTCTGAAAATCTCCCTGATATTCTCTATTATTTATTCTTCTGCACAGAAAACAAAGTTCTTAATGGCTGATGCTCTTCAGACCCTTTCTAAGAACCTTCTGCCTTACCAGTAGCCTTTTCTTCACTGTCATAAAATCTACAGCTTCAGGCAGCAGGCACCTCTGAAATCTCCCGTGTTCTAACCTAAACATGGAGCTTTATTAATCACTGAACATACTGCTCTGCGTTTGCTGGTTGAAACAAACCCAGGCATTCTACATTTCCTATTTGTTGTTGCAGGCCTAACTAATATTTCAAGAAAGAGCTGTAAAAATAATCAGAAAATGTTTTTGATGTGTCTGCGGCAGCAGTCACCTGCTTTACCCTATGGAAAGGGTCCCATTTGAACATTATGTTGTAAGACTGTTTTTGTGGCTAATTAAGACAATTAGGCTTACATGAATGGTCTGGAAGCAGGTGCTGGTAGACGTGGTGAAGAGTTATATTTTGTAGTCTTTCACTCCATTGCACTTTGAGTTGGGTGACTGACACTCAAGTAACACTGGAATCTGCTTGGGGCGCTTCACTACCATTGCCTTCCCACCTTTCCCTTCCCAGGCAATTGCCTTTTAAAATGTAGCTAGAAACATCAAAAGCATTATTACTGTAAAAATCAGTGTGAAATTAAAAGGGATAGGAATCAGCCATTTGTGTAGCAGGTTCTTTTCATGTCTCTGCAAAGATTTGCCAATTACAGTTCTCTTTTCTCCGTCAGAGTTGTTAACCTGTGCTGCTTTTATCTTGGGATCCCTGCCCAGGTTTCTAGTGATTTGTGGTCAGTTGAGATCTTCCTTCATTTCTGTCACTTGTTCCTGGGAGGAAGACTGGCACTGATAGGAAAAGTCTTGCTATTTTTAAACTGTCTCGGTGTTATGTCTCCTGCGGTTATACAGAGGAGGCAGTCTACTGTCTGTTTACTTTCATACCACCCATCTCTCAGCCTGAGTTTCTTGCTATGGCCCTGCTGCTGAGGATTTTTGTCTGATTTCTTTTAAAAGACTTTTTTTACAAGTGCATGGTATTGATCAATAGGGTCTTGTCCAGCCCTTTCTTTTGATGTATCCTTGGAGGTCCTGGATACGGAACGTTTAGCCTGATGTGTCTGGGTGGGAACGGGGATCTCTTTTAGAGGATCCAGAGCATGAAGTGAGGCTGGGGGCTTGCTGCATGCTTATATCTTACCCATTATAGGGACAGGATGCAGCCAGAGTAAGTGCTTGCAACAGGAAATTTGGACTTGTTCCTGGGTACTTGTTATTGCTATGCTTCTCTTTCTTCAGTTAGCCACATAAGCTTCTCTGCTACATTTATGACAGTTGTATTAGCTCATATTTTTTGCTTTAGTCAGATTTTTACTGCATAGAAGGTAAACTGTGGAGTAAAAATGAACACTTAGCTCCTTTTTAAATGCTGAGACTGAACTCTGTTAAGAGGGCATTCAGCTCCAGAAATAAAGTTGCAAAGTACTTGGCTAAAATTCTCTCAACTTTCTTAAATTTTGCTTGATTCAACTCTTCACTGATATCATACTAGAGTATATAGTAGGAACAATAGCAGAGAAATCCTGACCCTCTTGAAGCCAACAGGGAATCCTTTACCAAATATTTTGTACTGGATACCTTACTGTGACCAATGAATCCTAAAAATATAGAATCATAGAATGGTTTGGGTTGGAAGGGACCTTAAACATAATCCAGTTCCAACCATTTGGCATCGTCAATGGAGCAGGAAATACCATGGGGATTTCTCAGTCTGGAGGCACATGCAGGGCAGCCTTCTCCTGAAATAGCTAAAGAGTATGGGCAGTTGCCTAACAGTAACTCTGAGCTTGGTAACAGTACAAAGTTATCATGAGACTGTTTGTTGGGAAAGAGTTGATCAATAGGGTCTTGTCCAGCCCTTTCTTTTGATGTATCCTTGGAGGTCCTGGATACGGAACGTTTAGCCTGATGTGTCTGGGTGGGAACGGGGATCTCTTTTAGAGGATCCAGAGCATGAAGTGAGGCTGGGGGCTTGCTGCATGCTTATATCTTACCCATTATAGGGACAGGATGCAGCCAGAGTAAGTGCTTGCAACAGGAAATTTGGACTTGTTCCTGGGTACTTGTTATTGCTATGCTTCTCTTTCTTCAGTTAGCCACATAAGCTTCTCTGCTACATTTATGACAGTTGTATTAGCTCATATTTTTTGCTTTAGTCAGATTTTTACTGCATAGAAGGTAAACTGTGGAGTAAAAATGAACACTTAGCTCCTTTTTAAATGCTGAGACTGAACTCTGTTAAGAGGGCATTCAGCTCCAGAAATAAAGTTGCAAAGTACTTGGCTAAAATTCTCTCAACTTTCTTAAATTTTGCTTGATTCAACTCTTCACTGATATCATACTAGAGTATATAGTAGGAACAATAGCAGAGAAATCCTGACCCTCTTGAAGCCAACAGGGAATCCTTTACCAAATATTTTGTACTGGATACCTTACTGTGACCAATGAATCCTAAAAATATAGAATCATAGAATGGTTTGGGTTGGAAGGGACCTTAAACATAATCCAGTTCCAACCATTTGGCATCGTCAATGGAGCAGGAAATACCATGGGGATTTCTCAGTCTGGAGGCACATGCAGGGCAGCCTTCTCCTGAAATAGCTAAAGAGTATGGGCAGTTGCCTAACAGTAACTCTG